TCCCAGGTCTCCTTACTTCTGTTTCCTGCTATTTTTGGAATTTTACCTATGACTTTTTTCTTCACGACCAGATGATTGCCTTTGTGACAGACCCAATAGCTGTGCCTCATGCAATTGTTGTGTCATGCATTACCTTTTGCACTTAAATCCTTCGTCAGTGCTGCTCTTAAAAGCTTTATGCAGGTATCTTTATATATGACCTTTTCAACACATGAGGATTTCTAACATTCTTAGACTAGAAAAGAAAACTGACTTCTAAATCCCACTGAAGCATTTTAATACACTTTTCTCCCTTTTATATAATCATTCTTCAGCACTTTTTGTGTTGATGCCTAAATGGCTCTATTCATTAGAGGTGGAATGTCAAATAAAACTTAATACGATCACAATTTAGAAGGATTAAAGAAGGATTTTCAGATTTTACAGATTTAATTTTTTTAGCCCTGAAAATAGCTCTGGAAAATACCCAGTGAAAAAGATGCAATATAAACAATAGAAATGCAATCTTGACATCTGCATGATGAATTTAAATTAATTTTTCTTTACCAAATTGGACCAAAAAGTGTTCATTACGCCTGTTTTGCTAATTTATACTTTCTGCTGTGTTCCCTGCTGTAACAATGGGATAGTTGATGTAAACTGCATTCAATTTTACTGTCATAAATAGGTCAAAGAAAAACACCTGTACCCTCTTCATTTACTTGTTTCTTTACACACTTAACACAGCAATTGTTGCTTAAAGCAAAAAAGTATTTTTATCAAACAGCCGTCCAGTTCACACATTGTTTATTTCCAATTAGCCCGAAGGAAGAATTAGATCCAATCCAGCCTGACACTGATGACCTGGTTTATAGACATGTCATCTTCTTTTTACAACAACATACTTGTCTTTTGTGTTTGTCTTCGTAGTAACCTGTTTGTCATCTGTGATCACGGTGCTGAAAATGTAAAATAAAAATGTTGGTTTATGAATTAACACAAAAGAAAGAAAGTTTTTATTAAGTTTTGAAGTAATGGCTCCCCACACTGCTTTTATGTAACTGTCACTTTGGAGGAGTTAGGTGCAAGAAAACAACAAATAAAGCAAGAATGTGAGAAATTCTGCCAACATAATAATAGTGCAAGGCCAGGAATATGCTGAAACAGAAATGTCAGTTCGTTCTGTGGTAACAATTGACAAAGACATGATTTTGAAAGATAATGACTTCTCTTTCGAAATCAAAATAAAGTACATGGGGTGTAAAGGTGCAAAGGAATGTAGGAGAAAAAGAAAAGAATCCTTCACCACACTGAAATAGAGCATTCAACTACAAAGTGGTTAGACCAGGTGTGAGGAAACTTTTTGACTCACCGTAATGGGTTCTAAAATTTGACAGGGCGTTCGTGTGAACTTAGATAAATGACATGTAAAAGTCATGCATAAAGGGTAAATGCTAGAATAAACAACTATCTATAGGGAAAATGTGAGCATTGCAGAAAAGGCAGAAGTAAAATCACAATTCAAACCATAGTTTTCCCATGACTGGGTTAGACTAAATTCAAATAGAATTTAATTTAGTCTTTGCCTTTGAGTCAGAAAGTGTTTTCATATTAATTGTGATGGTAGGTATTATCTTGTTAAAAAAAATCATTGTTATATTTCTAATCTTAAAATCGGTTAAAATTATTTTTTTTACCCTTGGATAAGGCTCATCTTTGTGTATAGGAAGCACAGTACAGTTGTAGGATGACTCCCTGAGCCAGCCCTACAGAAATACACTACATATACTGTAGAGAACATTAGTCGACTGTGTTTGAAGTGATGATCAGCAGACAGTTTTGGATCAACAGCTTTAATTGTCAAAAGACATCAGAAGAAAAACACATAGTTGCTCTTTACACAGTGAACATGACACAAAGTTGAAGAAACAAAAATAACGATAAACCATTGAACAGCACAGATAAACCATCTCAACTGACGACATGGCACGACAACCCTGAATGTGTACAGGTTATTATTTTACCAGCCTAAATTAAAACAACCATATCTTTAATTACAAGAATTTTTATTTTCTTTAACATTATTAAAATAAGATACAGTATGTTTTTAATTCACAGGCAACATACAGCATTTAAAGCACATTTTTATGCTTTGTTTCCTTTCTTTACTGAACAAAAATATTTAGTTAAACGAGCAGACTGAGACAAACACTGTTATCGCTTACTTATTGGGTCATTCAGCTCATCATTTAAGAAATCCTGAAACCCCAACCATTGGTAACCAATAGGGCGCAGACAGGGTCTTTGAAACAAGCTGCGAGAAAAACCACCGTACTGTCACCATAAAAATCTTAACAGATACAAAAACACATATACTGTATTTACACATATATTTCTCTTCCTATAGTTTCATTATATTTATGTATTTTATATGGTTATATGGGTTTTATTAATTTTACCCATACTGTCATGTTTCTATGACAACGGTGTCAGTTTGAAGGGTCCTTTGGGTCCATTTGAACTGATATAGCCTTGAAGTGTGGTCGGTGGTTTGACTTTAATGCTTTTGTGTTACTGACCACATAGCTGTGCCATTAAAGCATTAGTGTTCAGTTCATTTTAAATTTATTAGAACCGGACCTTATGATGTTCCATTGACAGTACTTGGTATCAGCAAGTAGACCAGTGAAACTGCTATATCTTTGTTGGGTTGTAAAAAAAACAAAAAAAAAACAGTATATTAAAATTAGCCATTAAAAGACCCATGTCTTATAGTGGCTAATTTTAATGTGCATAAATAGAATACTTTTAGGTATTATCAAAGTTCAGCCACACTTAGAAGAACAGGGCAGGATTAGGTTTCCTGGCAACAGACGGTGCATTATTCACAGTAATAACTCCTCAATGTAGAAGTCTCAGAGCGGCAGTACTTTGTTAACATCTCATTATGGCCATAGATATTTTTACCCATCCTCTAAGACCCTCAACTATTGACCACCGTCCTTCATTGATCCATGTGTTTTTCATTCACTCAGTAGGAGCTTCTTTCAGGACGTAATTATGTTTCTGTGTGAAGCTGGTAGAAGTGATTAGTTTCCTGCAGCTCTTGTGATGTTTTTATTGAGATCATCCTTTAAGTTACATTAACAAAGGTCTGCTATCTGAATATAAATGTTTTACAAATTTTCATAAGGTTTAAATGAACAAGAATTGATTTTTTCCTGTTCCCAACAGAAATTTTACGTATGTGCATACTATATGTTTCATTAGGTCTGTGAAATTAGCACATGATTTTGCTATATGTGAAGATTATACCGATTAAACCAAAAGGACAAGAAACTTCCATCTGAGAGTGGATTAGAGCCTTACTGAGAGTGGGAGCTGGAGTTTTTAATATTTTTAATATTTTCAATGGGAGGTAAATAAACTGTCTTGTTCCATTCTTTACTTTATCACTGTGAAGGTAGAAAGTGGCTGCAGAAAAGCTCTGAAAATACCTTCTTTTTAATCTGTCCGTCCTTCACACACAGTATCTGAGAGTGCAGCTACTTTCTTAGAATAATAGACACGGTGCTAAAATTTGCTCATACAAGATTTCTTTAAAAAAAACAACAAACCTCACATCATTTTCATTTCACAATCTATCATCTCCACATCTAATTTCTGTCTTAAATGCTAAAAAGATGTAATATAAAAAACCTATATTTCATATCAAGGTCAAAATGCCCAGTCACCAATCTTTTTCTTAAACCTGAACATGTTCAGTTCGTCCTTTTTTTCTTTAGGTCTGAATTTATATAGAGTTGTAAGAACCTCATGTTTTGTTGAATCAATCTCCAAGACTCCAAGACTGTAGATGCTCTCACTGGAATGTTAAATAAATAATCTAGAAATAAACAACTTTTCAGCATCAGGTTTTAAAGAAAACCTGTTGCTGCTGTCAATATTTCTGGTAACTTAGATACAGTGAGTAAAAAAAACTAAAATCAATGTCTAACCTCGTTGTGGTTACATCTCATAAAAGCAAAATATTTCCATCACATTTCAACCATGCAGTCTGACCATTTTAAAGACACAATTTTAAAGTAATCCGCATTGGTACTACGAAGTTGTTCTACTTTTGGCAGGACTGCCCAGCATTTGGTAGTTTATTTGTTGTGTCTACCTGCAAATTGAAACCCCACGGCATTCTAAATTTTTTTTTTTTTTTTTTACACACACTGTGATGTAATGTAAAGTGATGTAACGTAAATCCAGTGGCTCATCTTTCTGGCTGTGGCTCATGTTCTTCAATCACAGGTACAACTAACACTGTTTCAGCCCACACTTGCAAAGAGAAAGTGCAAATTCTCAACGACGTGTTAAACCTGTGCTCCTTGTTTTGGGCCTGATATGTTTCATTCAAAAGACAACTGTGATGGAACCAGAATCATCGAAATGTTTATAATAAATGAGGTTGATAAAAAATACTTTTTATCTAGACTTACTAAACTTTGCTGACACATTTGGGTAAAATGTAATTTTTCTCCCACTGTGGTGATGTTACCTCAGTGTCTATCTCTGACTGAGACCTTTTAAATTGCTGTCTAAAGATCCAGGAACGTAATCATAGAAGAAACCCTTCAGTCAGACAGATTTGTACAGCAGTTGTTCAAAGACGAAGAATTGCACAACAAAGCACGGCGATGTTTGCAGTCTGTTGGTGTCCACTGTTTAATTCGGTGATGGGTTCATAGCAGAGGTCACATTTGGTTGTGTGCTGTGGCACAATGACTTTCCTCCTTCCTTCCTGTGGAGAGGAAATACAGTATAGATCCACAGTGGCTGCTTTGCTGTAACAGGATGTCAGTACTGTTCCTTTTCAATTGGCTTCTCCCATCACTGTTAATCCAGTCACACTACACTGTCAACTATGCTCTTTTATGTTTGAACAGTGATGAAATATTAGAACGAGTCGTACAATATCAAATACTGATATATGCCCCATCACTGCATGGTAGATTTGAGTGTTAGTAGTTAGCTCACGGCCACGATTGGCTCCACTGACAGGATGTCTGTTCTGCCTGTGAGTGCCTGCCTGGCTGTGAACAGAACATGTGTATCTTTAAGGTTGCGGGACTGACTAGGACCAACGTTACTCTGTTGTGAAAAGACCTGGTCCTGGTGCGGTAAATCTCGCCTCTGCCTGGATGAATCCTGGTCATCAGGCCAGGCGGTTCGGTGACGGGGAGTGCAAACCGCTGCGGGGCGGGGCTCTGGTTCCAACCCAACCGCACTCCTCTGCCTCCTGCACATGTCAAAGAGTAGCTGCAGCTCCTGGCGAAATGTTGGGTTCAGGCAGCAGTAGATGAAGGGATTGTAGCAGGTGGAGCTCATGGCCAGCCAGTGAAAGCAGAAGTAGAGGGCGTTGGATGATTCGATTGCCTGGCTGGAGAGCAGCACCACGTAGCAGTTGAGGGGGAACCAACAGACTGCAAACACCCCGACCACCAGCAGCAGCATTGCAAAAGTCCGCCGACGTTTTCTTCTCTGGGTGGCGTGCTGGGCTGTTGTTGTATCACCGATGGCATTGTGGCGCCAAAGACGGCACGACACTGTGGTGTAGGAGGTGGTGATGATGAGCAGAGGTAGCATGTAGAGTAATACAAAGGTTAGGAGGTCAATGTACTGCCAGTAGACGTCAGATGGCTCTGGGAAGTCTGGGACACAGAGACTGCGCTCTTTCTCTTTGCTGGTCAACAGAACACAGAAGAAACAAACTGGTCAGATAATCTGGTCCGGAACTCATGGCTGCACCAGGTCAATGGCAAATTTCTGTGCCAGGAGCTGATCTGCTACTTGTATGAACTTTGTAGTTTGTTTGTTTGTTTTTTTTACTGCATTTTAAATTTGAACTTTAACTCTGCAGTTTAGTAAAAAGAAAAAGTGCTAAGATTGAAATGGACAACATTTCATATCAATAACACAAAAAGCTTCCACAAATATGAGAAAAACACAAGGGTAATAATCTGTTTGGGGGCAGAGACCGTTTTGGAGCTTAAGCCTTCAACCTATCACTGCAGTGATATTTGCAGCTAAAAATACCAAACTGTCCTTGATATGAAAACAACCAGTGAAGGTTTTGTTAGTGTTCAAACATCTGTGTACAAAAATGTGACTCAATTTATTGAACTGAGCAAAAAAAAAAAGTTCTGCGCTGTTCAAAAGAATCCAAAGACTGGTGGTGTACAGTAACTGGAAAACACATTTGGTTTATATAGGACTAAAATGTTTAAAGACGGCCAGAATGTGCGCTAATACATTTGCATTTCCCTGTTCAGGAGATGTGTGTTTGTTTTGCATTGTAAAAACTCAAATAATTACTTTTTTCTTACACCACATAGCAAAACTAATTTGCAAGCAAAGCTTTCCTCTCATTCTGACACGTAGTTTTTGATTTTACATTTATTTCTTTCTCTTAAATCAACACTACCACACAAAGAAAAATTAGCACAAAAAATAATTCACACAGCACCTGTAGGTGAAGGTTAGGAGTTTTTGGTAGATCGCATGTGGGAGGGAGAAGCATGTGGCCATTATCCAAATAACAACAATCCAAACACGACCTTGAGCTGTGGACATGCGAGGTCTCAAAGGATGTAGAATCACCTGGAATGAACAGATCAGCTTAGAAGAAGAGCATGGGCCAACATTTGAAAGAAATAATGAATTGGACACAGTACATAGAGAGTACCAAGTACCAAGAGAGAATGTACTCATTCAGATACATTTCTCAAAAAACATAAATTAAATACATTGGTACTTAATTCATATTCTATTTTTTTTAAATAAATTACTCACAAAAACAGATCAATTCCAGGCAAAAATGTATATCAAAATGTAACATTCTAAACCTGTGTTTAGCATAAGGTTATCTAAACATGCATGGATATTATTAAAATCTTTCATTTAATTAATATTTTCTTTTAGAAATGTAAAAATGAACCTTAAGTTTCAGTACAATAGCTTAATTTTTACAAAATAAATAACAAAAAATGTCTATTTGTGTATGTGTGTGTGTACTGAGTTTCCAATATACTATCTGTTATTCATGTTTTTCTCACTGGATTACTACTTACTGTGCTCACATTGGACCACACTAGCCACAGCCTAATTCAAATTCACCACCAATGTTTCACTCTCAGAGTTGTCAGTTTTCAGACTGGGGAAATTTAGTTTCTTTTCTTGAGTATCTGAAATGATTTCTTTGGTATTTATATTTGATTTTTTTTTAAAGTTTACAAAAGATTGGGAGAAATTTTAAACCATGGAAAATTGATGATTTTTGATTAAAAATAACAATAGAAATAGAAGTACTAGAAATGACTGACTCTCAGTCATACATGTAAACAACATATATATACATACATGTACTGTATATATGCATGCATATAGTATATTTACACATAGTTACATACTGTAAATACATACATAATACCTTTAAAAATATTGTTGTGAACACACACTGCCATGGCTTTGGTACAGAATGAAACTAAGACGTATTTAGTTAGTTAATGCTTTTATGTTGTTCCACTACTTACAATATTGCTAATGACTAATTTTTGTACCTCATTAAGTGCCTCGCTCCATGTGCCTCTATTTCAGGCCCTAAGTGTGTTTTGTTCACAGCAGCCCAGAAAAACAGCTCTACCAGATAGAGGCTTCTACAACAGTGTAGAAGCTGGAAGTCGTTGATGTAAAAGTATGGGGGCAAAAGTGAGATGAGGGCAATCGATATACTGTGGCAAACCTAAAGGGAGCAGCCGGGGTATAAAGTTGTTAGTCTGTCTAATAACTAAATACTGTGTATGTGTGGTGACTGCATTTGGCCCTCCCCCTCTCTTTCTCTAAGCTTCTAAACACCTCTATTAGCAGACCTTTCATCAGGGCTTGACCACTCTGATGGATGTGGGGGTCAAATGTCTCAATACATGTGCTCTCCTAGGGCTGTGGTGTTGCATCCCCAGAGTCTCTAATGTCACGTGCATTATATCACACCTCAAATAACACACAACACTGATAAACTAGCAGGAATTGAAGAAAGATGCGCATGAAGATCTTATTCAACAGCTATGTTTGAGAGCTGTTTTTCAGTATTAGGCTTCATATCCCTATGCTGCCACATGGTGGAAAAACATGTAAGTCTGTTATTGTCGCATAGACCAGTGATTCCCAACCACTGTGGAAGATCATTAGGTGTGCCACGAACGAATGACCCAAAACTAGTATTTATTGCAATTTTTTTTCTTTGTCGAGAAGTGCAATGAAATCCTCTTCCACTAGGTGGCAGCAGATGGTTATTAAAATTAAGAAAAGAATATCTGAGCTGTTGAAGTGTCTTAAATTCCTGCCAGTATATTAGCATTGTCTTCAACTAAACAGGAGTTTTTTTTTTTAGTAAATTTAATCTAGAATAGTATTATATTATATTTCATTATATATACTTTTTGTGAGATTTTTGTTTGGTGGCTCAAAAAAGGTTGGGAAACACTGGCATAGACTTTGTGAAGGCAAATTATCAGCAGTAAATAAATAATAGTTTTCAGACCAATTATGTGAAATTGGATCATTTCGCATGGTACACCTTATGATCTCTCACGGTACGCATGTACATGTATCTGCTGTTCTCTGTCGTGCTTCTGCATGCTGCTGCATGACCACAGTGTGGCTATGGAAAGAAAGTAAATGGATGGAGTTCTTATTCAGTAGATGTTGAACAATACGCCCGGCTCACTGGTGTCCATGCAGCTTATCTCTAAAGACTTTCAGATCCTTTTCTCTTCACACCTATTAAATACAGTACATCCTTGAAGTGAATACATCAGTGAATGTGAGAGACTCTGCAATTGGTGACACAGACTTTTTCCAGAAGAGCAAAGCATATGAAAACATTTGTCATTTGGCATTCATTTGGCATTCATTTTTCAAATTCCACAAAAAGCGCTCTTCCATATCCTTTTTTTTTTAATTGGATGAATCTAATTAACTAATCAACTATAAACCAAACATAATTGGTTATTCGTAATAACCAAAAAATAATTTAACTCTTTTTCATCTACTTTAGCAATTAAAGTCTGGCACCTGATGTGAAAATGTTATTCTGCTCTCAAAAAGTGTGTTGAAAGAAGCTAACATAAAACTGCATGATAAGTGTTAATAATATTTTTTTCAGTTAGACTTTTATTTATTCTATTATTATTTCGACCAATATTGTTATTTATAATATAATATAATATAATATAATATAATATAATATAATATAATATAATATAATATAATATAATATAATATAATATAATATAATATAATATAGGGACTCCCAATGTGTTGTGAGGTGAGCTGCCACTAGAGGGTGCGTGATAGAACAAAATTTGATGGCGGTTTGGAATGTTTTCTTTTTATTAAGCGGGAGTATTTAAGAAATCTGTTTTAGTTCCAAGCAACACGTTACATTAAGGTTTTTTAATTTATTATGCTGGGATTTTTTTTCATCTATACAAATGGAAATACTAAATTAAGACTTTACACCAAGAGAAAAACTTGAAAATTACCTTATATGAACTCATTGAAAGTATGTGTTAAAAATACTGGTCTCTTACTGTACAAAAACAGCTATAGAGCAATCAAATATGTATGCTCTCACCAAATGAAGAGCACTCTTTGCCAGTACAATAAAGACATAGTGTGTGTTCAGCAGTATAAAAATCCTGTGTCAATGAAATTTAGTTCAGAGCCTATTTTCAGAGAACAGCACTTGAGGTGAACCGGACCTGAAGGAGGTCATCATTGAAAAAAAATAATTATTAAGGCTCTGAGTCTATACAGAAACAAAGTAATCCAATTATTACTACAGCCACCTGAGCTCCTATCTAATGTCTCTGTGTATTTATTGCAGTCTGGTAGTGATCTCTATTGTCCTTGATGATATTTTAGAGGTTGATAAGACTGACAGTCAGAATCTTAGAGCACAGCATAGATAGATAGATAAAACAGACAGACATATATATATATATAGAGAGAGAGAGGGAGATGGTTACATAAAGTGACATTTTTGTCAGTAATATTCAAAATTAAAATGGCCCCAGGGTCTTAAAGAACAGTGACACCAGTTAGTTTGTTAGTTCTCACCTGACTCACTTTGACTCACTACTTCTGTTCCAGTTTACTTAGGATATAGTATAGGCCTGTTTATGGACTGCCATTTTATGGACCATTGACTAATCAAATATTTCATCAGTTTGTGGCCATATCTTTTTTTGACAAACCTGACGTCTATCCAGAGCAATGGCCGTCAACGTTAGAGTGGAGACGTGCAGGGAGCAGTACTGCACAAAGCGGCTGATGTGACACATGGTCCTCCCAAACACCCAGGTACTGTTCACAAAACGGACCTGAGGAGACGAACATACAGGGTTTGGGTTTGATAAGGGTGAACGTGGTAAATGTCCAAATTCTGACTGAGAGTACGTACAATACAGGCGAAGACTAAAGATGTACAGGAAGGGTGAAAAGGAGAGGTACTGTCAGAAAAAAACGCTGGTTCTGTGAGAATAGAAAGTGGAGGTGGTGCAGGAGGAGGGGAAGAGGAGGGTATGGAGTACAACCACAGAGAAGATGTGAACATGACAAGACACAGCTAAGAGGGTCACATCAGTGTGGCAGGAAGCACAGACGAACACGCATATACAGGGAAGATGAGTGTGACAGACACATGAAACAATCGTTTGTTGTGAATATTACTGTATTTTCTACAATTAAGCAGTGAATG